TGGTTAAATGTACTTACCGATCATTGTCTTTGGGAAATGAAAACATGGATTTCTTATGTCCTGGTCTTGTTAAACAAGGGCGATACGCACAACACGTTCCTGGCATTATTAATAATAATTATTAAAAAGACAGCAAACAACAATAATATAACACGTTTAATAAATAACACGTTTCGCACTGAAGTGAAACCAAAAAAGGGTGATATTACCTTTTTATATCATGTTTTATTGCCACTATTGCCAGTTGCCTTTTCTACCTGACTAAATTCGGCCGGCTGATTGGTATCCTTGTTGATCCTGTCTATTTCGTGCATGCGCTTGTAAATTTCGGAACCAAAGTGACGCTACTCGTTGATTTGTTATACTCTGTCAGGAAAAATCGGTAGAAGTGGCATCACTGGTGCCACGCCCTAGTTGTGCCTTATTTTGTCATAAAAAGCATGAATCTTTTATAATAAAACTCTACCTATAGAAAACTAACATTTTTTTTCCAAAACAAATCAAATACTTAGAAGTATAAATAGAAACAACATTACAAAAAGAACAAATAAGGTAAAACTTTCATCCTAAAACACATTGCAGGACTAGACAAATAAAAAATACCTATACAAAATTTTGTAGGTATACAAGATGGTCCAGTCATACGAGCATATTTCAACACCCTGCGTTTTAAGAAAAGTTACATCCTGTATATTAATAAATATTTTTAAAATTTGATATAAATATCATAGCAAAATATTCAAGCGTTTTCGGTTCAAGCGGTTCCGGCGCCGCTGGCGCTGCCGTGTCGTGTAACATTGGACCACCCCTGTATATTTCAATACTTATGTATATTTTAATATTTTCGGCTGGACACACCGTCATTGAATAAGGTATAGGTTTTTCAGAATATCCTAAAGAAACTACTTGTGGGTTATCATTTGGGGGGATTTGAGTCACACAAAACACCCACTCTTTAAATCGCAGCTGCTTCTTAAGCAACTTTTTTTCAAAAAATAATTTTATTTTTATTTTCGTATATTGTATTTATTATTAAACAGTGGGCGTTTTTAATATTATAACATATTAAATTCTAACTATATTGAAAACTTAACTAAAGGAAAAGATCCCAAAAATCAAATTTCCGCAGAATTTTACCCTTGTAGTTATAGCCTGCTGGAGGAAAAATCCAGAACTGCTTTTAATAAATGCTGCCCATATCGCTTATCATGGATGCTGTACTTATTCCACGTTTTTAAAAATTCACGATGTACCGACTCACCAGCCTGTTCCGACCATAATCCTAAACGTCGCTTTTACACAAATCAAACAGTTACAATTTGTCGTTGTTGTAGATCGAGTTTTCCTTACAACATAATTTTTGGAAAAAAGGTTCTGGTGACCATGACAAAAAAACTAATTTATCATGGAAACCATGCCAACCATGGCCAACTGGTATTTGCGTTCTTTCACAGCTTGCTAAATTATTAAAATAAATAATATATTATTAAAATAGTCTTAAAAACCACGTTTTTGTTAGGCGTTAGATATTACTGAATAAACAAATTTAAATTGGCGGTATTTTGATAAAAACCACAATTACCTTAAAAGAATTATTTGAATTTGGTACTAGTTTGTTGCAAATAATAATTTAATAGGTTTTTATTACCTTGTAAACAATTATCTTTTAGATGATAGTCACCAAATTTCAATTTATGGATTTTACTAACATTGTATTATAAACAAGTGGTTTAAGAAGCAGCTGCGATATAGAGTGGGCGTTTTTTGTGGCTGGGATCCCACCAAATGATAACCCAAAATCGATTTTTTAGGACATCCGGAAAAACCTATACCTTATTCAATGACGGTGTGTGGATTTAACCTTTTTTATAATATTTGCACCATCCTTTTTTAAAAAGTTTGCAAATTCTTAGCAAGATTCGGTAAAATTATGCTTTACCATTAATTCGGCTTCTAATGTTTTTAAGTCCAGTCTGTTTCTCTCTTTTCTCCATGCCAAACTCACTGAATTAAAAATTCGTTCGCTCATGGCATTTGAATGTGGAAGGGAGAAAACGAAGGCAAACAAATTTTTAAAAAATTGGGGACATTCTTTTTTTTGAAGTAGGCTACCCATTGCTGATCTGCCGTTAGCTCATCAAAATTTCCTGAACAAAAATTTCCCTAAAATCTAGTAAGGTAACATATTCTTCAAAAAGTAAAATACACCATTCTTTTTGACGGTCCCATAAATTCTCCAGATGCTTACATAACACTTTATTATTTTGAACTACAATTTCAAGACATTATAATGCTCTTCTGCATCTTCTATTGTTGGAGCAAAAAGAATATTCCTAAACATTTCGATTACTGGTCTCCTGTCCTCCTTTTTCACGTTATGGTCGGTTTGCCATACCCATCTCCATTACGCTTGACAAAGATGGAATGTACACAAGAGTAGCACGGAGTTTGGAAATACGGCTGATAGCATTGCGCTGGGATTGTCATAAGAAAAAAAAATAAAAAAAAAGAAAATAGAGATAAAAGATAAATAATAAGAAGATAATAAGGTAAGAAGAAAATATAAAAATATTTACGGATTCAAAAAGCTATAAAAGGGGTGACTTACTAAAAAGAGAGGCGTCAAAATATCAAAACCTTTTTTTCTCATATGACAACAGAAAAACTATAATTTATATTATAGCTGTGTTAAATTAAATAAAACTATGTTACGGTGAGATAAATCAAAAGATAAAGAAAAGAGACAGCAACAAACTAATAGTTATTATTTAATTATTTAGCTTTTACTCCTCAAACAGGTCAATGCCCAAGTCAGTAGCTTCTACGGAGAGTAGTGGGGGGTTATAACTAAATGTGTCTAAATTTAATATAAATAAGCGCCACCCACTTTCTGGACCCTAAGAGTAAAAGTGATGTTTTGAAAGAAAGTGGGAAACAAGATACTAAATAAAACAATAGAAATCACTTAACTCATTTAATTAAGAAGGTTCAGCAATCACGATAAAAGGTATAATTCTAAATACTGTATGTATGGCTCAAAACAGGAAAATTAGTTGTCAAAATCTTATACTCAAATAAACCTAGTTAATGAAAAGTCAGTTACAAAACGATACACCTTAAAAAGTATCAGCAGTACACAAGTGGTAACTTGAACGATAGTGTCTAAACTTAATACGGTTATATCGATATCATAAATCTCAAAATAGTTATATATCAAACGCTATAAATTACTGAAACGGAGATACGTACTCGCGATACTTACTAGTAAGTTCACAGATCGAGCCGCAAGTAAAAAGTCTAAAGAAGTTAAACTACAACTATCTTAAATACGGAAAAATAATTAAACTCAATAAACGATTAATACAACAGTTCGACTGTAGTAATCAAAACAGTAAAATTAAATGAAATGGTTACTTATCAGGACATTCCGGAATCTCGGTGGTCGGTGACTCAGATGGTTGCTGACTTTTGACTGCTTATGGAAACGGCGGACGGTGAGCTGGCTTCAATACCCCATAGTGGTCGGTCTGGTCGGTCTCAGAAAGTCTTCTGGATCAAATGAGCTAGGTGATGAGGTGATGGTTAGCTCAGAACCACATGGTGAAGGAACTGGATACTGGCTGGCAGAATAATGACGAAAGGAAACGGCAGCATACCAAATAACATGGTTACGTGTTATAATGTTACAAAATGGTCAAAACCAAAATCCAAAATGAATATAGGAATAAATAGGACTTAAATTAAATTAAATTAAATCCAAATAAATGCAAGTTAAATGGCCTGAAAAAGAAGTTCAAAATTACCTTCAAGAAAAACTACAAAATGGCGTAAAACATACCTGAGATGTCATGTGGCCATTCATTAACTCTTTTCTTCAAATTCTTACTTTTAAAATAATTGGGAAAATCGGAAAAACTCCACTTGAATAGTGCAAAACGGCAAAACTATTCACCAATAAATTATTTAACCGAATTTGCTAGAACTTATATCAGTACAAGGCTTGATCTCAAAAGCGTGTCTGCACACAAAGACGGATCGTTCTAGAAGAAAGAATCATGGATGAACACCGGACAAAAAGGCAGTACAAAAAACACAGCCAATCAATGTTGCCAATAAACCAAATAACATATTCCCTAAGAGCAAAACATGAAATACGTAAAATATAAAAAATCAATAAATCGAAAGTATTCAAAGTAAACGGAAATCGAAGAATGAAATCGAAAGTACTACAGAAAATAATATTACGCAACCAATATACAATGTAAACAATCAAAAAGTCACCATCATATATAAATGTCATATGAGAGGTCGAAAGTAAGAGTGGGATAAAATTTTGTTCAAAGCAAAAGTGGGTTTAAATTTTCTCTAAGATCAAAAATAGTGGTCGGATTTAAAAATACGTGGCAACGTTGGAACAGTTGACGCGCGCACTATATTCCTACGCGATATGAATCGACACCAGCCGCCGAGCTAAGCGTCCATGTTGAATGTACAAGTTCCTCAATTAGTAAATACAGTCCATATTTAGAAAGTTAGTTTTATTCATTATCATTAGTCAACAAGAGAAAATACCGGTGAAGTTCGTCACCAAACAAATAGCATCTCTCTATTTGTGTAAGTAGTTGGTTTCATAAAAAATCGCAGACTAGTGTTATAGATATTTATTATATTAGACATATTTTGAAATTTAGACCAGTAAAAAATAATAAATAGAAATTCAAGATTATTAAGTGCGTACCTATAGTTAGTGGGGATTGTAGACATTTTAATTTGTAAAAAAGAAACTTTCGAGCAGTATCGTTAAAGGCTCGTTTTCACGATGATAGATTATGCGATAGTTGCTGTCATGAGAGACACTATCGCATAAACTATCACCATGTAAATACCCCGATAGTTACTATCATGCTGTCGCGACAGTGCTCTCGGACTATCTCGCTTGATGAGATAGTTGCAAGTACTTTCGTGATAAGTTGTTGTTTTTTGGAAGAGGTGCACAATTTTGTGTATTAAAATTCGGTAAAAAAATGAGCAGCCAGCGATTTGACACGATAAAATTTTTGGAAGAATATGAAAGGTTTCCATGTTTATGGAAAAAAAGTTCCCCCGATTTCAAAAACAGAGTCAAGAGGGATCATGCAGAAGAACTTCTGCTACCCATATCAGGACTCTCTACAATAAAAGAACTCAGGCAGAAAATAAGGAGCATTAGATGCACGTATAATCAAGAAGTTGCTAAAATAAGGAAATCCATGGGAACTGGATCGGGCACCGATACTGTGTATAAACCAAAACTCTCATGGTTTCACGTAGCTGACAGTTTTTTGAGACAAAATTTGGGAGAAAATGAGTCACAATCTAATTTGGTAAGTTTTGTTTAATTTTCAGCTTTATTTCATACAGGTTGATCAAGTAAATGGATCATAGTTTTGAATTGTTGGATTTTTTCGAATGTTGCTAACTAAAATACTGCTATACCGGGTATCCCTTATTAATAGTGGCTCACCCTTATAACTTTTATGTTTTACTTATTATAGCCCTTTAATGTCTGATACCATATATCAGACATTAAAAGGTTATAATAGGTAAAAAATAAAAGTTATAAGGGTGAGCTACTTTCAAGGGACACGCTACAGTATGTCCGGCGATGGTAGACAAACGGACCAAACATTTTATTTTCCGAGGAAACGATATTCTTTATAAAAAGTTTTGCTTTCCAAAAAAATACGATTATCGATAAAATAAAAAAATATACGCAGGGTGTCCCAAAAGTTAAAATTTCAATTTTTTTTACAAGAATAAAATACCCTTATTTTAAAGAATGTCTTTTCCTTGAAAATTTAAATTTTTGCTCCGTTTGCCCTCTTGTCTACCCTATTACCGGACATACTGTATGTTAGATTTTGAGAGATAAACCACCTAGGAATTATTATTTGCACAAGCTGGTGGGAATTATTAGGATTTTTTTAAGGAATTATAAGAATTATGAGGACTTTTAAGATATTGAACACCCTTAGCTGATCAAATTATATTACTTATATATTTTTTGACATATCCTAAATTATAAAATATTAGAAGAAATTTATGATAATTCATTATTTGGATGAATCTTCGCAATTACTACTCTATCATTTTGTATTGCCAATCGAGTGCTCCTGGCCCTGTAAAATAGTTAGTTAAGTCTTCTCTTTTTTGTCGAGCTTCTGGCAAATAATTTCGCTGCAAAGCTGCTCTTACATCAGCCAGACCATTTTGTCTAGGAACATTGCGCCAATTTCCAGGAATTATTCGCCCTGTCACGTGATCTTCAATATCAGCTGTTACTGTTACTTCATTTCCCACTTTTCTTATCCAGTTGTGCAAGGCACATGTAGCTTTTATTAATTTTACTACTGTGGTAGGAGCAAGTAATATTGGAGATCTGAATATACGAAAACGCGAAGACATTATGCCAAACGCATTTTCTACTACACGTCTGGCTCTACATTGTCTATAATTAAATACTTTCTGGGCAATACTTAATTGATTTCGTCGAGGATAGGGTTTCATCAAATATGGCTTAAGTGGAAATGCTTCGTCTCCTAATATAACGGAACCGTCTGGTTGGTTCAATATGTTTCTTTCAAGCGCTTGATGAAGAGAGGATTTAGCAAATATTGAACCATCGGAAATGCTGCCATAACTCCCAATATCAATAAAAATAAAATTATAATTATGATCCACCAGGGCCAGTAGTACAATACTAAAGGTTCTTTTGTAGTTAAAGTACTGAGAACCGGAATTAGGAGGGCACTGAATTAAAACATGTTTTCCATCAATTGCTCCTATGCACTGCGGAAAATTCCAACAAGTTTCAAACCCATTTATAATTTTTTTCCAGTCGTTTTCAGTTTTTGGTATCTGAAAATGAAAACACATTTATTAAAGCAATTAAAATCATTCTTTTATATTATTTTATTATATTATTTCTTAAAAAAATAGTGTATATACAACAGGGCTGCGAATCTTATATTATTTGCTTCGCCCACTTCTAGCGGCTCGGCCGTGAATTCTGGGCTCAGCTATAATAAAAAATTCTCAGCCTATAAGGTAATGTACTATTATTATATTATTTATCTTGCTTTTTGTTGTAGATGTTGCCAGAACAAATTTCAGAAGAAATCCAGGGAAATGCACCCTCAATAGTAAATGAAGACTCGACACAAGAGACATGGGAGTGTGAAAAAAACCCTTTTACAAATTCAAGAGAGGCACAATCATGTTTTAAAAAGCTTAATGCACAGCCGATAACGCCAAATCAATCTTCACAAGAGCCTAGTAGAGATTATGAAGAAACCCCCTCTGTTAATTCGGCGAGAAAAACAAAGACTCGGAAAAGACTCGCGAACAATGGAAAAAGTAAGGAGGATGAATCGTTGGACCAGGCTGTTAAAGCTTTAAAAGAAGTAGCATCTGTTGCCTCCAATGAATTTGATGCATTCGGACAACATGTTTCTTCCCAACTTAAGTGCCTTCCATTACAAGAAGCACTACTACTTCAGGAGGATATCCAGAAATCTATAACAACTGTTCGCCTGCGTTGTTTAAGAAATCAAAATGTAATCAACACTTCATTCGACAAGGAAACACGGACCACTACTTCTTCATCAGAAATGTATCGACAAGACGATACATCAGAACTATCAAGTTATTCAGGGGAAAATAAACGATATCATTATCAGCAGGTTCCAAATGAAGTGCAAAATCAAAATGGCAATAATCCTTTATTTTCCCATGAAGCACAGGAGACTATTTGCTCAGAAAGTTATTTACAAGGCAATACAGACTCCTCAACTTCTTCAGGGGTAAATGAACAATATCAATTTCGGCATCAGGGTCAGATGCAATTAACAAATTATTTCAAGAATTGGGCGGAAAGTGATGACGCCGGTGTTGATTTCAATTAAAATAGATACTTACTTAAAACTTAGAATATTCTGTTGATTTTGTTTGAACATTTTTTGTATTTTTTTTTGTTTGAGATTGGAATTTTGTAAATAAAGTTACTGTTTACCTACCATAACATATTCTTTTAATACTTCGTATATGGCATCAAAAACATATGGTAAAAACTGGCTTATAGTACACTTTGGCACTCGATAAAGGTATTGCAATGATCCCAATGAGTCGCCAGTGGCAAGGTATCGACAAGCTATTTGAAGTTTTAGTTTTGCTGATATAGGTTCTCGCATAACAGTATAATTCTTTTCTATCTTGCTACAAACCTATAAATAAATAAATTTATCTGTACCTAGTGAATAATATAACTTTTGATTATTTTGGAATTAGGCCTATACTTACTTTATTTAGTAACGTATTAAACATTTCCTCATTCATGCGTAAAAAGTTTAAGAAACTTTTCGGATCTTCTACAGCAAGTTCGTTCAGAAGTCTTTCAGAAGCACCAAGTGTAATTCTTCTTGCTATCCATTTTCTCACCCATATCTTCTTCGTTTTCCTTTTTTTTCTACGTTGAATTTTATTAATTATTTCACCAATAACAGCTGCTACTGCACAAATTTTTGCCCTGTCGGCCATTTTGCTATATACGATCCCGATATTTTTTAAAATACATGTAAACACCTCACTTTCATGATGGAACAATCGAGGTGACTATCATGAGAGTACTATCATGATAGTACTATCACCGTCAAAACGAGGCTTAATAGAAAAACATTATCCTTTGTCGGCAACTTTCGATGGTACGTCACAACCATCGACGTTCTAATTTATAGAATAAAACATTTTAGTCATCGAGTTTCTAATAGATAGATAGTTTTTTAGATAGTTCTATATTGAGACGTAAGCGTGTTAAGATGAGTCAAAGCTCGGAAGATAGAAATTCGGAACTAGCAAAATTAGTCGTTAGGCGGAATAGAATAAAAGAAACCTTAAATCGGTTTGCAGAATTCGTAGACACGTTTAATTTGAGCCAAATAAAGGAGCTTCAAGTCCGTACCGAAAAAATAGAGCCACTGTTGGACCGATTTGAAGAAATTCAAATAGAAATAGAAATTCTTGACTCTGAAGCAGATGGCAACTTGGAGTATGAAAGCTTCGAATCACAATTCTATTCGTTGTTGGCTACGGCCAAGGGGCACATTTCGCAATATCAATTAAAGGCAGAGCACAATCAGAGTTTAACTAATCCGTCATTAATTCAAAATAGTCAGGGTAGTAGTGGGATAGATAACAACTCGTTCATAGTGGGCGGGGCTAAGCTGCCGAGCTTAGGTTTACCTAAATTTAGGGGTGATTTTGAGAAGTGGTTGCAGTTTTTTGAGGGTTTTCAGACGCTAGTTCACAATAATCCATGTTTGGATAACATACAAAAATTTTATTACTTATTGGATTGCCTGGAAGGCGAGGCCAGAAAAATTTTGGATTGTCTGGAAATAACAAATGACAACTACGAAGTAGCTTTAGACTTATTGAAAAAACGATTTCAAAATAAACCTGTAATTATTAAGAACCATATTAAAGCCCTGGTGGATATGCCGATTGTAAGTAGGGAATCTTCCCAGTTACTAAGAAATTTAAGTGATTCTATTGAAAAGCACATTCGGGCCCTGAAAACATTAGGAGAACCGGTAGACACATGGGATAGATTGCTTATTTTTCTAATGAGCAAGAAATTAGATATAGAAACAAAAAAGGAATGGGAACAAAAAAGCATATCAGATTTTAAAGGTGTTCCACAACTATCTAATTTTATTAATTTTTTAAACAATAAATGTCATATTTTAGAAACTGTTGAGAGTAATACAAAGGGGACTATTAAACAAGGTTATAGCGGTAGTCAAAATTCTCGTGGGGCTTACGCGGCAGTAGGAGGATCCAATGTAAAGTGCGAGTTTTGCAAGGGATCACACTTTGTATACTTTTGTCAAAAATTGTTAGCACTTTCGGTTTCGGAGAGACTCAGGGAAATTAAAAAACTTAAACTCTGTTTCAATTGTTTACGATCTAGTCATACAGCGAGCGAATGTCGGGCAAGTGGTTGTAAAAGGTGTCGGGGTCGGCATAATAGCTTATTACATCTAGAAAAGCAAATAAATCAAAATTTTGGGAACGGACGGTTAGTGAATAAAGATATAGAGTCAGGGAGAAAAAACAAACCGGAAGAAGCGGACACGGTACATGCGTGTGTAGACGGGGTGGAAGCAACAGAGGAGCAGTTCGTAGCTGCAACTTCTTACAGTAATCCAAAAGAGGCTAGTCAAACTATTTTGTCTACTGCGCTTATTTACATAAAAGATAATAAAGATAACTATGTAAAGTGCAGAGCGTTGTTAGACAGTGGCTCTCAAATGAATTTTATTTCTAGTGAGTTGGTAAGAAAACTAAAATTAAAGACAAATACAATAGATATACCTATTTCAGGAGTTAATCAAATGCTTACCAAAATCGACAGTCAAACAGAATCTATTATCAAATCATGTTATAATAACTTTACAGCAACTCTGTCTTTTCTGGTTCTAAAAAATATCACATATAATATTCCGGTACAATCTTTTGAGGCGTCAGCTATAAATATACCGTCTAATTTAAAATTAGCGGACCCAGAGTTTAACATGTCGGCAAAAATAGATGTTTTAATAGGGGCTGACTTATTTTTTAACTTACTCTGTGTAGGGCAAATTAGGTTAGGTATGGGGAAACCGCTGTTACAAAAAAGCGTTTTCGGTTGGATCATATCAGGACGTTTAGTTCATGATAAATCAAGCACAGCTGCTCAGTCGTTTCATTTGTTAGCCTCTCAAGATGTACAAGAACAATTGGAGAAATTTTGGCATATCGAGGAAGTAGCCACAGCATCGCATTATTCAAAAGAGGAATCAGATTGCGAGCAACACTTTGTAGATAGAGTCACTCGGGACTGTTCTGGTAGATTTTGTGTAACTTTGCCGCTGAAAGATAATAGCAGCAAGTTAGGTAATTCTGTAGAAAATGCTAAAAGTAGATTTTACTCTTTAGAGAAGAAGTTTGCGAAAAATGCAGTCCTCAAAGAAGAATATTCAGCATTTATTCAAGAATATATCGATTTGGGACACATGAGTAAAATTGAGATTCAGAATGATTCTCTAAATAATATATGCTATTTACCACATCACGGTGTCATAAATGAAGGTAGTACTACTACAAAGCTACGTGTGGTGTTTGATGCTAGTTCAAAAACCTCTAGCAATTTTTCATTAAATGATGTATTGATGGTTGGGCCATGTATTCAAGATGATCTGTTTGATATCTTGATTAGATTTCGACAACATAGTGTAGTATTGACAGCAGATATTACAAAAATGTACCGACAGGTGAATGTTGATGTTCAGCAGCGTGACTTACAAAGAATATTGTGGCGCGCGGATTCTGATTCAGAGCTTGAACATTATAGACTAAATACATTAACGTATGGTACTGCACCTGCGGCCTTTTTAGCGACTAGATGCCTCGTGCAGATTGCCTTAGATATTGAAGATAGATTACCAGAGATAAGCAAGATAATAAGAAAACAGTTTTATGTAGATGACTTAATCTTAAGTGTAGAGTCAGTTGAAAAGGCTATAGAGATAGCAAAATGCATTTATGAAGAACTTAGTAAATACGGGTTTCCATTACGAAAATGGTCTTCCAACTATAGAGAAGTACTGGATGGTCTTCCCTTTGAAAAAGCAGATAATATGGGGTATATTATAGCAGACAATGAATGCAATAAAACATTGGGAATATTTTGGAGAGCAAATTCTGATGCGTTGCAATATGTAGTGGAGAAACGATTTATGAATTATGCTGATGTAACAAAGCGTGTGATATTGTCGATAACATCACAAATATTTGATCCGTTAGGCTTACTGAGTCCTGTCATCATAAGAACAAAGATTTTGCTACAAAGACTTTGGCAGTTGAAATTAGCTTGGGACGAAACAATTCCGATAGATTTGGCTACAACATGGAATGAATTTTATAAGCAATTTGCATGTCTTAATGAAATCAGGATTCCCAGGCAAATTGCAATATTAGATGCTGTTAGATTTGAGATTCATGGGTTTTCTGATGCCAGTGAGCAAGCTTATGGTGCCTGTTTGTATCTTCGTTCCATTAATGCAGCTGGTAACATTCTAGTACGTCTGATTTGTGCCAAGTCTCGTGTAGCTCCGATAAAGCAGATTAGTTTACCGCGTTTGGAACTATGCGGAGCTGTGATATTAGCTCGTTTAACAAAAAAGGTTATTGCTGCGTTAGATATAAGTCCTGATGATATATATTTGTGGACAGACTCTACAATTGTGCTGGGGTGGATTGCGGAACAGCCAAGTAGGTGGAAGGTTTTCGTGGCTAATAGAGTCGCAGAGATACAAGAACTCACTACAGGTTATTATTGGAAACACGTTGAATCTGCCGACAATCCAGCTGACATCATATCGAGAGGCACACAACCTATATTGCTTAAAAACTTAGATTTGTGGTGGTTAGGACCTCCATGGCTTAGAGATAATCTAGACAAATGGCCAAAAACTGAGCATAATATGTATACAAGTTCTATTCCTGAACAACGAAATGTTAAGTTTACTTTTACCAGCGTACTTATCGATTCTGAAATTTTTACACGGTATTCTTCATTATATAAATTAGTTCGGATTGTAGCATTATGCTTTAGATTTAGTAAAAACTCCAGGTGTACGGTAGGTAACAGGAATTTTGGTGACATATCAAATACAGAATTTGACGAAGCATTGTTAGCTTTGATAAAGGTTATGCAAGCCCAAGAGTTCAAAGACGAAATACTAGCTATACATAGATCTAACGATTTACCAAAACAAAGTACGCTTAGGTCACTTGATCCCTTTATCGATGCAGCGGGTATTTTGCGCGTGGGTGGGAGACTTCGCAATTCCAACGAAACGTACGATGTCAAATTTCCCATACTTTTACCTCAAAGACATCCATTGACTAGACTGATAGTATTAGATCAGCATCACAAACAATTACACGCAGGGCCACAACTAATTTTAGCCTCTTTACGACAGCGTTACTGGCCGATAAACGGAAGACGTGTGGTTCGAAGTATGTTAGCGAGATGCGTAACCTGCTTTCGAGTCAAGCCTGGCAGTATTAAGCAAAAAATGGCTGATCTGCCAGAAGACCGAGTAAGGTCTAGTAGACCTTTTCTAGTTTCAGGCGTCGATTTTGCAGGTCCGTTCAATCTAAAAGACGGTAAACTACGAAATCGCGCTATTATAAAGAGTTATATGTGCTTATTCGTATGCTTGTCGACCAAGGCAGTGCATATAGAGCTCGCAGGCGATTTAAGCAGTAGTTCATTTTTAAATTGTCTAAAAAGGTTTGTGTCAAGACGAGGTATATGTACTCGAATGTATTCCGACAATGCAACTAATTTTGTTGGGGCGAATAACGAGCTGAAAAAAGTAGAAAACTTTTTAAAATCCGTGGGACAAGATAAAGAATTTTATAAATTTTGTCAGCAATCCCACATTGACTGGCGGTATATTCCTCCTCGATCACCTCATCACGGAGGTCTCTGGGAATCCGCTATTAAATCAGCAAAACATCATATAGCGCGGGTTATAGGTAATACAATTTTAACTTTTGAAGACATGAGCACCGTGCTTACACAGATAGAGGCGGTTCTAAATTCCCGACCCCTAACCCCTCTATCCTCTAATCCAAATGACTTCCTTGCTCTTACGCCTGGTCATTTCCTCATCGGAGACGCATTAAACGCACTCCCACAACGATGTGTGAAAGAAGAGTTGTCAAATCGTCTAGATCAATACCATTTGATTCAAAAGATGTACCAGCAGTTTTGGTCGAGGTGGTCATCAGAGTATCTGGCGGTTCTACAGCAACGTATGAAGTGGAAGAAGTCCTGTCAGAACTTGGAAGTGGGCACTATGGTCATTCTGAGGGAAGAAAACGCCGCACCGCTGAATTGGAAGCTTGGATGGATCGTCGAGCTTCACCCAGGACAGGATGGATTAGTGCGAGTTGTTAGTGTGCGTACTAGTGCCGGAGTGATAAAGAGGTCGGTACAAAAGTTATGCGCTCTTCCAATCGAGGTCGACCCTTCTAAAACCATCTCATAGGCTTAGTGCGAACCAACAGAGGCTTAATTAATTATCTTATCATTGTTAGCCTCAATTTAGATATATATTTTTTATACAATATTTAAGATGTTTACATATCTAGTGTTAATTGATATGTTGTTTGTAAAACCATTAGTTGTAGTAGTTTATGTTTTGAAAGTTAATCTTTCAAGGCCGGCGGTTATGGTCGGATTAAAAAATACGTGGCAACAGTGGCAACGTTGGAACAGTTGACGCGCGCACGATATTCCTACGCGATACGAATCGACACCAGCCGCTGAGCCAAGCGTCCATGTTGAATGTACAAGTTCCTCAATTAGTAAATACAGTCCATATTTAGAAAGTTAGTTTTATTCATTATCATTAGTCAACAAGAGAAAATACCGGTGAAGTTCGTCACCAAACAAAATCCTTGAATTTAATAGCTGTTATTAAGGAGTTTCACTTCAAATATGCACGCATAGTGCACACCCTGTTTTCTTTTTAATATTCACCGTTACTTAAGTTATTTATTATCCCGTATAATTTATGAACAATAAAAATCGTCAAGTGGATCGAGACCAAAAACTTGAAAGATGATAGCGATCAATGACATTTACTATATGTATAATTTTATGTTTACAATAATAGCGATTTTCATTGTCAGTGAAATTCCAGCAAATTTTTATTTATTAAATTTTTATACTTGTCCGCATGTCCGCGTTCTTTACTGACGATTACACGAAAGTGAATTTTATTAAAATAGCTAAAGAGCTAATTTTGCTCCGGTGCAGAATATTAAAAGTTTTCAAACTGGGCCACGAAACACTTAGCCTTAATGTATTTTTTATCTTACTAAGCCTTTCCTTGACTTTTTGGTGTTTTTCATAAATTAATTAGCTACATTCCAAACTTCAATAAAATGCATTTTAAACAATTTTAAATGTTTTAACTTCTCTACTACTTATTCCCATTTACATTAATGAAATAAGTCTACGTAGTTGAAATTATTTTTAAATCTTAATATAATAATATCTCCCGTATATAGCGTTCAACGCCTTGGGAGTAGCAAGGTAGAGCTTGCCCTACTAGTGCCGTTCGGTATACAAGGAAGGTAATGTGGCTAGCACTACGCTTCAACCGCCTATTATTACCTCGGGATTGTGAATCCTAAGTACTCATTTAAGGCTGAGTCGACCTAGGTACTCAAACTATTTTTATTTTAATAAAAATAGTAGGCTGATGCAATGCCGGGTGTGGGAATCGAACCCACTACCTTGAGATTGGTAGACGAGAGCCTGTACCTCTACGCCACCGGGCACCTTTAAATTTAAATCTTAAATTCATTTAAATTCTTTAAATTTGAAATAATGCAAATATAAAAAATATATTAAGAATATAAATTAATGTAATTCGCAAAAATGTTGTCATGGTTAAGCTATAGATAATGTATGAAACTAAATGAAACGCTGTTTTAACATATTACTCAAAGTTATGTATACAGGGTATCCCAGGGTGAGCCAGCGTGCATTAGAAGTTTCTAGAGAACTACAATATCTAGATCAGAGATTTTTTGCACATCACTGTTTCACAACGAGAGATTGATTATTATAAGAATATTACACAGGGTGGTCCGAACTGTATTCCGGAAACTTCGGCAACATATTCTGTAGATAAAAATAAGTAAAAAAGTGCGTATAAATGTATGTCCTAAAATGCTTAGTTTCGGAGATACAGGGTGTAGAAGTTTCATTTTTATTTCGATTTTTTCCAACCATACGCATATGTTTTAACTGGTTTGAAGAGTAATAACTTTTCGTCCGTACCTGTATAAAACTACTGAGTAAAAAAATATACATTTACGACGTTTTTTTACGGGAAAAAGGTCTCTTGGTAAAAACCGTTACGAGTAATGGTTTTCGAGATATTTGGAATAGAAATTATCAATACCTGTCATCACTGATATAAATTAAAGATGTTGAACCCTGTCTACAGGGTGGTCCAAACTGTATTCCAGAAACTTTGCCAGCATATTCTGCATATAAAAATAAGTAAAAAAGTTCGTGTAAATGTATGTCCTAAAATGCCTAGTTTCGGAGATACAGAGTGTAAAAGTTACAATTTTATTTCGATTTTTTCCAAATAATTTTTGAAGTAACGTAAATATTTGGATGAAAATTGGTGTCTGGGAGTTTTTTGACACGACAAATTTGATTTTTATGTCAATATGACTCTACTTGTAGAGAGCGCCACCTACATATTTTTAACTGTTTTGAAGAGTAATAACTTTTCGTCCGTACCTGTATAAAACAACTGAGTAAAAAAATATGCATTTACAATATTTTATACGTAAAAGATATCTCTTAGTAAAAATCGCTACGAGTAATGGTTCTCGAAATATTTGGAATCGAAATTATCAAAACCTGTCATTTTTGTCATAAATTACGCATGTTGACTAAATAGTTATTAGGCTGAAATCATAAATTTAAAATGTTTTTGTGCTAAAAGTTCTTTATCATCATTTTTTCTCAGAAAAAATTAAGACTAATTAAAAAATATAAAAAGTTCCCAAATTTATCATTTTAGTCAAACATCTGTCGATCTACTCAACATGCCTATTTTTTGTCAATAATGACATGTATTGACTATTTCCATTCTAAATATTTTGAGAACGGTTGTCCGTAGCGACTTTTACCAAGAGACATTTTTTACGTAAAAAATCACAGAAATGCATATTTTTTCATTCAGTAGTTTTATACAGGTACGGACGAAAAGTTAATACTCTAAAAAACAATTAAAACACATGTAGAGGGCGCCCTGTATAAATAGGAGTCATAGTGACATAAAAATCAAATTTTTCATGTCAAAAAACTCCCAGACACCAATTTTCATCCAAATGTTGACGTTACTTCAGAAATTATTTGAAAAAAATAGAAATAAAAATGAAAGTTCTACACCCTGTATCTACAAAACTAAACATTTTAGGGCACACGATATGTATGCCCTATACATATTTATACGAACTTTTTTATTTATTTTTATCTACAGAATATGCTGCCGAATTTTCCGGAATACAGTTCGAACCACCTTGTATAGAATGTGATAAGCAGGCAAAAAATAGTCTCCAAAACTTCTCAACAATATCGTCGTTTAAAACCTTATGACACAGCTTATAATGTGTGTACCATAGGCGGCGTTGAAAAATTAATTCCTTCGATAAAACCAAATGAACAAGACTTTAAATATTATGTGACAATTGAGGACTTTTTTGATATTATTCATGAAACTCATTTAGCTATTGGACATGGAGGTCGCAGTAGAATGGTTGAGGAGCTAAAAAAAATATAAAAATATTACGCAAAAAAGTCTGTCCATTTACCTTAGGTTATGCACATTATGTCTAATGAAGTAAACATGTATGAAAAAGGGACAGGTAAGACGTGATACCCATTATACATTCGGAAATGAGCAATCTATATATGTCAAGTAGATTTAATCGACATGCAGTCGAATCCTGGTGGCCCGTATAAGTTCACATTAGTCTATCAGGACTAATACCTATTTAACTAAGTTTATACAATTGAGACTAAAATTGAAAACAGTCCATTGAACTAGTCTCAACCATACTATATAATGCATGCTACATAATGCGGTGCACCAATGATCATTCACGTTTATAGAGTAAATGGTATTTGCATTTTTTTGTAAATAAAAATTTATGTAATAAAACTGCATCTCATTTCTTGCACACGCCTATGAATGTGATATTAATTGGTCACTTAACTTATTATCCGGCTAATTCGCGAAATAGCCAAGTGCTAACAGATACTGTTGCGTTTTTTAAACAACTACCACTGCGAACGGCAGCTTTTCATCGGAGAGCAGTCGTGCATAAGGTATTTCACTGGAAAGAAAACTAATTAAGAACAATAAACAAAAAAATAGATATTGGGCGCCAGGCATGTACAGAGGAAGAAAACACAGTTGTATATTACTTAAAACTAATGACTATATTTATTCATGATGAATTCTGATGGTAAATAGCATTGTACAATTTTAATAATTATTATAGTGGTTATTTGTTGAGTAAAACTATGTATGTAAATAATATTAAATATGTTCTGTGAAAAGACTATGAAAAAATACAATGCGTGTAACGTTATAGAAAATATAAGAAAAGTAGCATTACTTTATTTAAATTGTTAAATTTTATGCAGTGTTAAATCTGATATGTTGCAACCTGTAGATTCTAGAATCTATGTCTCGTTATTCATCTGTTAATATAGCGCAATAATAATATCTATAGAAAGTAATACTATTACAAGGCGTAATATAATGAAACCTAAAATCTAAATCACATTGTAACTACTGAATCGACATAAATGTTCTTAATAATGTAACCACTAAATATAGTCTGTACGATATTATTTAAAATGTACGTTACTGTTTAAGACTGAAAATATAGAAAATCTAAAACATAAAAACTAGAACGTAAATCTACACTTAGCTGTTCTTTATGTAATCTTGCTTCAAACAGTAGCAGCGTGAGGTGGTCTCGCATCTCTGTACTGTCTGTCGGCGATCCTGTTGGTCAAAACAACAAAAGGGGCCAGATTGAGGACACCATGAATCCTTACAGCCGTAGCTACTGACTAGGCTTAGAAATGGGAGTGAAGCAGCATGGGACTCAAGCTACATCCACGCTGTGGCACTTAGATGTAAGAAAAAATCGTTCTTACTGGGGACACTCGTCCACAGGACATCTGTACATAAGAGAATGTCTGTACATAAGGCACTACCCGTACCTTGGACACAGTCCGTACTTTGGACACAGTCCGTACCTTGGAAATAGTCCCTACCTTGGACACAGTCCGTACCTTAGACGCAGTCCGTACCTTGGACCCTCGAAATACTTCCGAGGGCTCAATAAATAATAAACAACATGTCCTTTCTTCCATGTGACATTCTGGAGGACAAAAGAAAAGGGACGCCAACGTGCCAGCAAAACACAAATACAAGTT